AGTTATTTTGAGTTTGAAAAAAAGTTAATGGGTCAAAGGTTCAGAGACATTTTATTATTATGTATTACTTAAGATGTCATGTGAAACATGGTGTAAGGGCTCATGCCCACGAGACGGTTTGAACACGGCCCGGTTTTTGGCCGGCGCCGGGTAGAAACCGTCCGAGCTTGCACACAAGACGGTTTGTACACGACCCGGTTTCATCGAGGTGCCGCCTTCATACGCTCTTTTCATTCAATGAATTGTGGACGTATAAAATGTTGAGTGTTAAAAAGAGGAAATGTATTATTGCGTGGTACATGTATAAAAAGCTAAAAAAAGACGAGAAAAAATACATAGACGACATTGGGTACCTCCCATGTTAACAGAAAGAGAAGATCATGGTGCATTTCATACGCTCATTCAGAAGCAGTTAATGAAATATGACGAGAAATTTGAGAAGTACTTTCGAATGAAAAAAGAAACATTATAAAAATGTTACATATTTTGGAACCCAAACTTAAACATGAAGATACAAATATGCGCAGTAGTATATCTCCAATTTATAATTTCTAGTCGACTTCAATAATTATATAATAGGTATAATATTGCGTTGTGCGTACTGCGTAGGTAGTCGGCACGCGCCGGGTGTAGGCCCGGTCTCGTGTACATGCGCTCATACACTGGCATATTCCTCTGCGCACCGGGCGTAGACGCGGCGAGCACCGTGCCCGGCTGCGCGGAAAGCCGGCGCTAGCGCCGGCGTCGTGTGCATGGCGTCATTGTGTCCCATACAAGACTGTCGACCGGACCGGAGCTAGGCCCGGCGAAAAACCGGGTCGTGGGCATGAGCCGTTAATGGTTGCAGCTCCTTACAAACATTGTGTAAAACAAAAAACTTGCCGATTAAAAAGAGTGGCAGAGAGTTTATTGGCAGTTCTTCTCTTCCGTTCTACGCCCTTTATTGAGAACTGGCAGTAAATGTAAAATTAGAAGCATTTAATGTATATTTTGTTTTTGACGTTCATAATTGTACATTGTTTGACCTTTATGAATAAATGATTTTGACTTTTGACAAGACAACGCTAATTATGACTTCTGTGTGTTAAGGTGTTGGATTTTGAAATTCGTCATGGTTCGTGTCGACTCGTGTTGAATCTTACCCTAAAACTATGTTACACGTACTATGTGTGTGACCTTTGACGTGGAGGAAAAGGAAGTGGGGACGGAAGTCCTTTGTCTGGGGTGATTTCGGGCGGAGACATTGCTAATACTGAGCAAATATTAGACATGGTACTAATTTACACGCGTAAATGATCTTAGTCATAAATGGACGTGAATGTCATTAAGACGTATATTTGCATACATTGCGTATAGAATTCTTTAATGTTAAATTTCTATACCAATGAAAGCAGAATATATAACTACCGAATATATAACTTTTCTACAATTATATTTATTTGTTTACGAAAAGTAACGTTTTAAAGAAATGGTTTTAAATTTTACAATTATATTTTTAGACAACGCCACTAAAATGGGTGTTCATGGGCTGCGATGACTACCTTTTTTGGGCATCCCTTAAGTTCGTTTGCCCCCAATGCTATAAAAAACAGTACATTGTTATGTTTTCCTACCATTGAACTTTTTGAAATTTTTTTCCCTTAAGTGAAATAAAAGTAAACTAAAGCTTTGATTTAGATTTTCAACTTTTTAAATGTTTTGATAAAACATTTGCCTGTATAAAACAAACTGCGAAATAAAATAAGCTTCCGTTGAATACAGTGCCCAGTATAAGCTGAAGACTCATTACTCGGATAGTCGGTTATTAAATCCATCAAGTCATTCCAATGTCTCGTCAGCGCATCCGAAATTAGATTCTCGATTCAAATGAGAAATAATAAGCAAAATTCTTATCGTCAAAGGAATTTTGCAATCACCAGGACCTCAATAATATATCATTAATACAATTGGTTTTTCGTATGTTAATAAATGTGTGATATGATTGTGTAGTGCGTAAATATGTAAATAAATATGTATGCGCTTTAGTTATATGATTTTTTATAACCAATCTACTCAGGTAGTATATATAAAATATATTTATTTATTTATATAAAGCATACCTGTTTTACAAGACTTACAGGAATACAATATTATTGTATTTTATTTGTGATATTATTATAAATAATAACTGCCTTGCCATTTACGAGAGACTGAGAGTAATATTAACACAAATTCTGATTTTAATTTGTTAACGCGAGCTTAACACACATACGTTTTCTTTAACATAAACGATCGATCTGTAAAGAACATATAAAGGTTGTGTAAATATGTAATAACGCGTATAAATTTGTTACAATAATTTTATTTGAACACAGACGCGGTCCAAAGCCCTTAACACGATAAGCTAAATAAATACCGGAATTATGTAGTTACACTAATATATGTACGTTGTAGGTTAAGAAAATTGTAAACACTGTATTCTTGATTGTAATTAAACAATATATGTATGATTGAGCGGTGTATAGTTTAATATTAATTGACAGAAATATATATAAATGAAGAGGTCGCAAAACATCTTGCAAAACACGAAAATCACGGTAACAATCGACAAAAACATTACGTAATTAATCGCAATGAGACACAAGTTACATAAATGGATCTTAAACGCAATAAAAAGGGTAAATGATTACATTGACTCCGAGATACGATAAAACATGTCTCCGGTAATTAAAACCGCATAATTAACACCAAATACGATATTAAAACGAACTGAGAGCAAAAAGTAGGAGAAAGCAGGATTCTCAAACAGGTATGAGCAAGTTCATTGTAATTTGCTTGGAGAAAATCTAATATAGCGAAGCGTTTGTTTGTTATGTGTGCTTTCGTTCTATAATAGCTAAAGGATAGAAGAGCTTTTGGGCGCTCATAGAAGTCATGAAAAAAATTAGACAAAATAAAGAAGCAGAAAACAGCTTTAAGAAAAACAACTAAGCTAACAGATGTTACGATAAAAGTAAATAAACTAAAGTGGAAATGGGCGGGGCACATGGCAATAGGAACAGAAAAGTGGAGCAAAAAGCACTAAACTGGTGCCCAAGGTGCACCAAACGAAATAGAAGAAGACAACTTAGAGGGTGGATTGACCAAATTAAAGAAACAGCAGGTGGTACATGGCAGAGAGTGGCACAGTGCAGACAGGAATGGAGCGATTTGGAGGAGGATTTTGCCAAAAAAAAAGGGCACACAGATACACGAAAAGAAGATTGAAAAAGAAACGTGTTTTAAGTAAAAGTATCTGAATTAAAAGGCTATTATTATTTGTTTTAGATCTATCATCTTTATTAAGTAAATGGAAACTGTTATTGGAGAGTCCAGGTCCACATTAAGTTGTGATCTTAGAACTTAGGTCATGCTTGGGTCATTCATTACATCTAAATAAAAAATACCGCCGCTTGTGGTATTTGTAAACGTACGTGGCAGCGGTTTGATTCCCAGCGAAACACGTGCAGGTTAATTATAGAGAGTAAATAATCTATGAAACAGTACATGCCTGCCGGTGAATTGCAAGACTGCGAAGAATTTAAAATTTATAGCTAGACATTAAAATATATAAAATTTAAGTATTTTAGTTATGTGCAAACCAAAGAGATTTAAGTTTATATATACTACGGGCATGAGAAAACGTGTCTCAAGCCTATGATCCCATACATTGGCGTAATTTATATTGAAATGAATATTAACTAGACAACTTATAATTAACAAATATACAGTATTTACAACATTCTTAACCTACATAGTAATAATAATAATTAAAAATGGATAAATAGAAATTTTGAATTTATTACTTATATTTTGAAACACGAATTGATATATTTGAAAGGCGTATTTAAATATATCAAAATTAATGCTACCTGCATGTACGGCCGCGGCGGTGCGCTAGGTAAATATATATTTCCATATTACATTTTCAATCCAACGATTACTCTTCGCTCCCGAACTATTAACTTCCGTTCAAACAAAACTCAACGTAATAAAATTTTAACGTGAGCGTTTCTCGGTTTAAATTAACCGCCAGTTTATTCAGCGCTTGGTGTAATACTAACTCAGGTACTAAGCTCCCCGGGGTGCGACTAGACACTGTAAACTTAATAAAATCATTATATTCTACGATACTTTGAAATTTTTACTTGGCAACGACCGCTATGGCGGGATAGGAATTGGTATTTTGCAGCGCGTAATATCAGATAACTTGTGTACTTTGGAAAAGCAATATTTAAGTTTTCGCATAGTATTTTATACACACAACTACTGTCACACAAATTTATTATGCTATAATTCAGAAACAAACATTTTTCGCTAATAATCAAGAATACATTTTTTCGTGAATTTTACACCTAGGATGCGATATTTTACTAAGCAAGAAATTAATCAATTTTATTACTTACAATAAAAACTCTTGCAATTAACAGTAATGATAAAAATTATTCTCAATTTGCCATTATGAACCTTATGTATCAACCAATGACGATACATGGGTGTATCTTTTTTGGGTTTGGGCCTCAAAAGCATTGTCTTTTTCATCTATAGACATGTCTATTAGTATATGACATGGTGGTTTACCTACTCCCAATGTTCACCTTCAACGTACGAGCAAGTGTTAAAGCGCACGAAAGAAAATCCGGAATTTGAACAGGTCAAACCACTGTAGTAATCGTAAATAATTTAAACAAGTGAGCATTTTAGTAAAATCCCTATCAAACTAGCATCACGCGAAGTCCACCCCGATTCAACCCTTGCATTAACTATTTTACACCCCTATTTCAACTCGGTTATAAATTTCACGTAACCGCTGTTTCCGGACCGTCCAGGGGGGTTAAAACAACCAAAATTGAACCCTATTTCAATTGGTTTATGTAGTAGGGTAAGAAAAATATGGCCGACATATAATTGATCGTAAGAAAGGTGTTTCGGATTTTCGATGTGCGATAGGGATTGAGATGTTGAAATATTAACGCGTTTTTATGGAGGTAATTGAACTGTATATCTACGCTAAAACCAATCTTATTCTTCTAAGATTTTTCACTGGGACCGAGCCCATGGAATCGCTGAGCGGTTTCCATATGTTTGATAATATATCGCGGTCGGCCTACTGCTGGAGCGATAGAGTGAAAGAAAACCTGCTGCAGTTGAAAGCCAGTAATTGGCGAGAGCTGGCAAAGGAGAGGGAGCGCTGGAAGATTCTCATTTCGGAGGCAAAGAAACTTTTTGGATTGCCGAGCCAGCGGAGTGAGTGTTTTTAATATATCTTAAATATAAGTCATTATCAGAGTTGTGCAATTAATTGTAGGTACTTTAATTATTTTTATACATCTGAAGACCGGTGACACTCGCCTACAGTGACAGGTCTTTTACGACGATCTTGGGACGAGTGAAGACATTTTAATTGTATCTATTTAAAGATGTTTTAATTGAACAAATTGCATGTTGTGTTTGTAGAATATATTATAGAAAATAATGCAATTATTTTCCGTACCACAATCCAAATCGTAAATATTTTAACTTAATTTGTTACTTTAACCAAATTTCACTTACGATATTCACTCCGACATAAGCTGTAGTTCAAAGATTCTTACCTGAAAAAAAAATTCATTTTAGGTTTTATTCTGATTAATGGCATTTTTAATTTACACTGCGATACTATCAAATAATTGAGCTGTTGATTAATAGTTAGTACATTTCTGAATTAATGAAACCCTTTTAGTTCAGTCATTTCCGTTGTTACGCCTATCCCAAAAATAGCGGCATGTTTCAATGGAAGAAGCCATTTATTTTTTGTCCTATATATTTCATAGTCAAACAAATATACTATGTTCTCTTATTGACATATTATATTTCGGATATGTAAGCGGCTTCACCTGTATTTGTCTAGTACAAGTTTTACAATATAAATAAATAAAGAATTAAAGTTTTAAGCTAGGAAAGTCGACAACTTTGTGCTTAGTTCTGTATTTTTTTGTTGTGGTGATACGGATGGTATTTCGTAATATATATAGAAGACCTTTAACGTCCATACATTTATGACGAAAATGATATTATAAATTTGCAAGTCAGAATCATGCCTATTATAAAACGTGGACTGAAAGCACCGTTTGTATTACGAGTAATTTTTAACAGCAACATTTTTAAATGTTGCATTTTTGTGTATTCACTAAAGTGCTGGCCAAAATTTAAATTGTCATTCAAGTCCTAACAATAGTCTGTTAAAAGTAGATCGGATTCAATTATCGTTTGTATGAATTACAATTTGTATGAACGTGACTGAGAATTGATTTCACATGTTCGCATTTCGGGAATATCAATCTAATTGCAGCGCTTGAATCGTCAATTTCCAGCGCTTTACTATTTCTATAAAACCCAAACAAACGAAAGCCCCATGAAGCTTGAAAATAATTTGTCTAGCAACCCTGCAGCTTACGGGTAGCGCAAACAAAGTGCGCAAACGGTGCCGGTACCAGCTCATGCAATTATCTAATTACGAACGCGAGCGTGGCGGCAAAACGTACGCAAACATGACGTCACACGGATTACCGTGTTTGCTAAATTTGGACAGCTACGGCTAAGATCGTAGTACCTCTACGAAATTGTCGTAGACAGAGCAAAATGCGGTCTCCGATTTTGTTGAAAAGATCTTTATTCCTAGAATTTCTACATTTGTAGATTTAGGTTTTATAAATATAAACATCTATTGTCTATTTCTTACCATATAATTGTTGTACTGTTATATATTATCAGAAGAAGAAGAAAGTCAAGTATTTATTAACACGAACAAGACAGAGATAGCTTATTGTCCACTTGTTTGAATAAACAATAATTTAGGTCGTACGTGACAAAAATATCTATATTTAATAACAAATACAATTCCTGTCTTACAAGTAAATTGGAAGTCCCAAGTCTTACACCGAGAGCTTCCACCTGGATGATCACTACATCAGTGATTTGCATAGAACTTCATAAGTACTAAGAATGCACAGTTTGCACACAATTTCACAGTAAACAGTTATAGTTTATTATGTTAATCCGAAGATTGTAACACAGAATTACGATGCAAATTTCAGAACAATGTCTCGTGATTTGGGTAACTTTGACACGCGCCAATCCTCCATTTAGTATTTACACATCACCGCTTGTATTGTCTAAGACTGAATGCTTGTTTGGTTTATGTTTATTAAAGGAATTTCAGACGAGTATATCTGCGACTTTATCTAGGGTAAAATATAGCTTTCGTCCTTTATTATCGACGATTTGATTTACTACTTTGTCTAGAGTAAAATACATTTATTATCGCAAATATATAAAACCTTGTTTTGCAAGAATGTGATTATTAAAACATATAACCATAAAAACATAAGTTAAAAGTCTCTAAAAATGGGCAGTGTTTGCTTCAGCGTGCGACTCTCATCCCTGAAGTAGTAGGTTCGATTCCCCCGGCTGTTCCACAATGGACTTCCTTTCTATGTAAGCATTTAAAATTCGCTCGAACTGCGAAGGAAAACATCGTGAGGAAACCAGCTTATCTTAGACCCAAAAAGTCGACAGCGTGTGTCGGGCACAGGAGGCTGATCACCTACTTGCTTAAAAACAAAAGGTTGTAGCGCCACTACCACAGATTTATTTTTATTTCAAGTTACAAGTTTCAATCTTGCTGAGAATAAAGTGTCAGTATGCCTATACAATATTTTAATTGAATGGACCGTAGCGGAAAGCTGAGATCGAGATGGTTCTTAGAATTTATAGAATTGCAGATTTTTATACAATATCTCCTAAACACGATGTTTAACTCCAACGAAACGTTAGGAGTGAAAACGCGTAGAAAACATTAATAAATACTGAAAACAATTTTCTTCAGTCGTAATCCGTCACAATACATCACACGAACATCTGTATTTGTTGAAATGACAAGGCAATAAAGAAAAAACTCGGAAATATGAAGAATTTATATAGAAATTGTCTAGTTCTGTTTTGTTAAGATTTCGCTTCGAAATTACTTCTGCTGAAAGCTATATTTTGAAAGGACTTGGCTACTTGGAATTCTAATACTGCTAAACGCTGGCTTTATTATCACTGAAAGCTTTAATTAATAACAGTATTATATTTATAAAGATACGTTTCTAGTAACTTTCAAAGTATATTATGTTTACATATATATATATTCTTCTACGCGTGTTTGTAATTAAACTCCTAAAGAGCTGAATTTTTTTTTTGTATTTGCTCAAGTACATTCGGGATTACGTCTATCAGGTCCGCTAGTTTATTTACTTAAACCGTAGCCGCAACAACCCAAGAGTCTTGTCTTTAAGCCATAACTAAATTTCCAATCTTATATTGGGATCATTATTATAGTGGGATCTTTAGTTGTCGCCTGGATAAAGCTTCTACCTACTTTCATCCATTGCTTGCTTGCAATTCGATAGAAAAAAATCCAAATTACGCTGAAAAATCTCAAGTGATGCGTAAATCGTAATTGACTGAACAGGTCTTTTTGGCAATAAAAGCGAGGCGCGCTGTATGATCGCTCAAGACTCGGAGACGTTACTTTATTTATTGATTAATTGCTTAGTTCATGTAATCTTATTTATTTTTTAGTAATTTTGTTTGTTAATTAGTAACTCTATTGTAATAGAATGCGTTTTAGTGCATGAGTGTTATAATTAAAATGTTACCCGATCATATATTTACGATGTTTCCTATTCATCGTTACAATATCCATTTAATCATGAAAGAGAACTTAACAATAAAGCATACAATATAAATGGGTTATTCTAATAAAGCGCTCGTCATGTTTGCGTTCAACGTATGATGTGAAAAATATGCTGATATTAGAAAAAATCTATCCATAGAATAAAATTAATCTGTGTATCAAAATTTATTACAGATTAGATAGAACTAAGGGCAAACGGGCAAAAGACTGGACACACTCAATGCCAGAGGATTCGCGACCACCTTTTTAAGAATTGGTACGCTCTTTTCTTGAAGGACCCTAAGTGAAATTTCGTATTCAGCCTCAACGTCCGGTGATGAAACTGAAAGATTGATAGGGATTAACAGACTTAACAATTGAATAGCGTTTTTCAAGGCAATTTTTGCCGCGCACCACTACTATGTGGAACCAGCTGCCCACTGAAGTATTCCCGAACCGATTCGACTTAGGGTCCTTCAAGAAAAGAGCGTACCAATTCTTAAAAGGCCGGCAACGCACTCGCGAGCCCTCTGGCATTGAGAGTGTCCATGGGCGGCGGTATCACTTAACATCAGGTGAGCCTCCTGCCCGTTTGCCCCCCGTTCTATAACAAACAAAAAAAAATAGCGTATTTATCACATTATTTTATACAGGCTTTTAGGTTTTATGAAATATTTTTAATAAATTCTGCTAAACTGCATTCCGTTTTTGATACGCATCATTTTATCTATCGGTTGTAGACAAATCAAGTATTTCTTGTTTTACACAGACGGTAACCGCTAGAGTAAGCTAGTAAACAATAAGCTGTTAATAGAGCCTCAATCTGAGCTTAGATATAACATTTCCCATACAGTGGATCTCCAACTATGCGTTAAATAGAAGGAGCTTAGAGATCGTATTAGTGTAATCGCGGGGTCGAGCTTGGTTCTCTTTGCCTCATTGCGCTTTGGTTCACACAAACCTATGGGTTTACCTATATTTGGCGTAACTTCAAGCCGCACTGCAAATGATTTAGGTGTTTTAAATGTGTTCGGGGTTTATTTTAAATGTAAATATTTTTGTCTTATTCTTGATTCAAAAGCACGAGCCAATACTTAAAACAATAAAAAATTGACTTTTTGGTTCTAAGGCAATCCTATTTTCTCACGATGTTTTCCTTCACCGTTCGAGCGAATGTTAAATGCACACAAACTGAAAGTTTATTGGTGCACAAATATGTCATTCAAATATCATTTTAAATAATAACCCGTTTTCGTCGGTGCAATTTCTCCTTGTTCCCCATTTCGTGTAAGTTTGTTGAACTAATTGACCAAAGATGGTAAGCCTTTTGAATATCACTGAGAGCGATATGGCAGTAATTTAAAGTGGTTTCACAACTCGACTGGGGTAAATTACGGGTAATCACGACGACTAGTCACGACCCCGGATTTGCTCGCACGAAACAATACGTTGTGATATTGAGATAGGCTATAGTAGATTATGTTTCTTCTGAAACAGAATTTTAATTTAAATGTATTGAGTCAACTTCTTAAGACAAACTAATTTATAATATTAACTAGATTACCCGGTGAACTTTATCACCTACATATATTTGTGTCAAAAGTTAATATAATGTTTTTAAAACAGACCAAAGAGATCGGACCTCATACTACAGCTATGAAACACAATTTTTTTTAAGGCAAATAAATAAATGACAACCAAGTGACAATATTTGATTTCTAAAAAGACAAAAGACAACAAATATTTCCAAGATAGAAACAGTTTTTATATGAAATTTAATCGTTTTTAGTATTCTCCTTCACTTGTTATATTTATGTTTCCCGTTTAAACCTGACATTCCACAAATATTTCAAGATCAGAATTAGCCAAATCCGTCCAGCCACTCTCGAGTTTTAGCGAGAGAAACGGACTGCTATTTTTACAAATAAGATCGAAATGAAACGTCATTGGTGGCGACATCGAGAAAATTAGGCAAATAACGCATTCAAGTAATATTATGACAAAAGTTTAATAACGTGCTTTTCGTTAATATCGAATTAAAGAGAAAAACTCGCGCACAAGTACATAAGAAAGGTTTTGATATAAAAAATTTCATTACAATTAAATATCTATTCAAACACGGACGAACGGTTTATAGTATTTTTACTAATAAATATTTCGAGTGAGAATATCCTTCTACTAAATCATAAGGTCACAAGCCATGTAACCTGAGATGTGCAGATTGCCCCGAGTGCATTCATCATTACCACAATTCCCTATCATTATCTACCTTTACTGATTTCTTACTTCAAGAATATTCTGCTATAAGTGATTTAAACATCGACCTTACTTTCCCATAGGTAATTGTGGATCAAATAACTATATCTGTCGTTAATTGAGTTTAAAGAAATTGTATCTTAAATAAAAATATGTCGTTTTTGGACGTTGACGTAATATTACATATATTATCTAGAGACTTATTCTGGTTTTGCTATCAGGACGTTGTCTTATTGGCCTTTGTCACTCTGGTGATAATATAGCATTCTAATTCTTAACCAACATTGTAAAAATAATAATCTAGTTAAATAGTCAAGAAATACAAAATTAATATCTTTCCTCTTTATGACATTGGTATAGAATCATCGATTTCAATATTTAAATGCAAATACGAAACGTTTAATGCGCTGATTTGCGAGTGTTATATTTGATAAAGCAGCCGGAAGTCTTTCTAAAAGTTTGTCGAGCCTATTTTAATTGCACCTTTAGAAATATATTTTGTCGAAAACAGAAGCATAAAAAGGCGCAGTAATGAAGTAGGTCTACAAGACTAACAGCCGAGCGCGTCATTACTTAAAAACCTATTCTGCAGTGAAAAAAATCTGTCCTAGGTTTAATTACTACCGG